CGCTCCGGCTTCGCGTGGAAAAGCCCGTGTTTGCCAGGATCGGTGCGGTATTTGGTGATCCCGCAGCCTGGCGCGTTTCACAATTTCGTTGCACAAATAATTTGCTCTTTTTTTTTTTTTTTTTTAAAAGGTTTTACTACATCTGTTCCTGCCGCGTTTCCCTCCTTTTGGAAGATAATTCTTTATTTTTTAAAGTTATTATTTCTCACCGCTAGAGAAATGCTGAATAACACTTGCTGACTTGCTTGATCCATTGCCAGTATTTATTTCAAATTGATAAACCGCAGAGAAAAGTCGCTGCACTATTAACAGCTGTACCACTGTTGGTGGAATTCATCACTGGGGAAACAGACTAGCGGGAGATTCACATCGTAACGTAAATCAAGGAGCTGGTAGTGCTCCTCGTGACTCAGAGAGTATGTGTGTATATGTTATGAAACATTTGATCTTGCAAAGTTTTAAAAATGATTTTAAAATCAAGTTTCACTAAGACGGAAATCGTGAAAGTCAGTATTATTTTTTTTGTACCTAATTTGTTTTCTTGAGGCATAGAGTGTGTGCTATGTATAAAACCATGTGCCAAATATTTTTATGGTTCTGGAGTTTACCTAACTCCCCCCCAACTTTTTTTTTCTTGTACATAGACACAAAAGCAAAGACTGAGATGGAGTTTCAGTCTTAAAGAGAACAGAATACAGTTTACTCCTTTAGAGAGGAAAACCAATTTCAAACAGATTTTTTTAACTCACTTTTCTTTCAGGAAGGAGACAAATTTGCTTTGTGTCAAAAGCTTTTGTACTTTCCTCGACTACCACTTTACATGCACTAGCATTACAGCTACCATCAGAGAAAAGCTGTTCTGCAGAGCCCGTCAATGTTACTACCAAAGAGTCGATTATTGAGACACCCAGAGCAATCCTTCCTTATAGGGCCCGAGAGACCTTCAGTAGCACTTCCACCTCCTGTCAATCTAAAATTGGAAATTAAATCTAGATCCACTATTGGTGCTCCACACTCCTAGTCCATGAGACTGACATACTTTTATTTGGAAATACGTTATTTCCTGAGTAGATAATTTATTGCTGAGGTTAGACTAAAAGTCTCTTAATGATCCTTTTTGGCCTTGAAATCTCTCTTGTGACTTTCACCCCCCATTGGCCTTTAAGTTTTCCAGCATTTTCATTTCCTTTTACTGATACCAGTATGAAAACTGATTTTAGTCAGACAAATCTAGATTTCTGGACATGTTGTTTATCTAGCCATTTTTGTATTTTCTTTTTTTAGATGATTGCATGTGAAAAGACAGGCACATAAATTCTGCAAAACTACAAAATGAATACTATTTTGCAATGGACTATGCAATGGACTTGAAAAGCAGCCTTTTTAATTACTAAAAGTTACTTTAAAACTATGTACGTTTAAAAGTGATCTTTTCATTTGAGGATAGCTGATAAGAAAGGCCGAAAAAGAAAAATTCTTTCCATCTTTTCTTCTTTCTTTTAAATTCTCTCTCTCTCTCTTTTTTTTTTTTAAACACTGTTTCAGTTCCTGGACAATTGTTGCAGTTGGATTACTGGTCCTGATTTTTATTGCTCTGTTGGCTCGTATTCTTGTCAAAAGGAAACCACCCAAAGATCCACTGTTTTATGGTAGGTATTGGTAACAAAGAAGCTAAATTCAGAATGTATCCATTGATATAAAAGAATAATGTATGATGGTTATTACACATTGAACATTTAAAACATGGCTTCAGAACTCAGTCCTGTGAAGCGCTAAGAAGCCAAGAAGGAAATAAAGACAAGGGGAAAAGGAAGAGAAGTAACGCATCTTTTGAACCTCTCCCTGAGCCAGATCTCCCATTTGAAAAGAACAAAAATAAAATAACGCTCAAGCTGGGCTGTGAAAATATTTGAAACATGATCATACCTGATCTATCAAGATCCTCTTTGTGGCAGGGCTTAGACAACACAGTAGACCTCTCATGCATAATCTCATCCTGAGTGGACTCAGTTGGGATTTTTGGATCTTTTGGATTAATGGCTTCCGTGGCTTGGTTCCTCATCTGATGATCAAATTCCTTCATTCTCCCATTATCATTAGGTTTCTGTGTTAATACATCTTTGTGATACATAAGACAGCTCATATCTCCCCAGGTATTGCTTGATGCTGTCTGCAAACTCAGGCA